TCGTCATCTCTAAATATGACTGAAGATCATTGAATCACAATTCTCTTATTTAAAGTTTTGCTTTTTTTTTTTTATCCTCATGTAAGTTCACTCAAAATAATGATGATGTTCTAGTTGGCAATTTACATGCATGCATATTCAATTACACAACAAAATAACAGGCATTACAAAAGTAGCAGCAACTTCTCCTTTGCCCCTAGGTAAAGCCTTCACTTGTAAAATAATAACCATAGGTGAGACCATGTCTCAATAACCAATAATTTAATTCATTCACAAGCAACCTAACAAAGTAAATGAGCATGTAAAGTGGGTTATACAAGGGCAATTGATCATGAAACATACGTAATACAAATCCATATAGAGTGATTAGCCATTGATAACCTATTAAAATTGATGCCAATTCAGCATATTTTGCTATACTTTCATTTACTATTTAGTTCAATTGTGAATATTTTGGGTTCAAATAGAAAAATGGGATTTGGTTGAATTTAGCCTTGATGATATAATTTATTGGCAATTTTTGTTAAAAAAAAATCTTGCCTTTATTTAATCTTCGAAAGATTTCATAATGTGCTTTTTTGTTTCAAGTGACTTCTAATGGGTAATCATGTTAATAGATAGCAAATTGATGCTTGAGGATGTATTTCGAAGCATAAATGTAACTACAAGTGGACCACAAATGAAGATCAAGCTCTTTGTCCCATGTGCTATGGCACATGTGTAAAATCTCTCTCACTATTACCTGATTAATTCAAAATTTCAAGTAATTAATAGATTATCTCAACGTGAAAATGACAAGTTTGTCAAATTACACAATGGGATTCCAAATTTTCAATATTTAAAATACTTCCATACACTTTTAATATATTCAAATCAGAGTTTAAAACATTTGCGAAAGCCTGGGAAATGAAGAAAGAATTAAAACATTTACATAAAAACTAAAAACTGTGAACTATGCAAAAAACTGCACGTGCACCGTGGCTTATCACTCTTACACCATGGTGTGTTGCCTCTATGACATGCGTCGTTATGCATTGTATGAATTTAAAAGCATTTTGCTGTCAAATGACAACCAGGGACGAACTTCCAACATGTCCCATTTCTCTATATGACGTTCGATTGAGGTGATTTAGGTGTTACAAAGAGCTTTCTCCTAGCTTTAGCTAGTGGCACGAGTTTTATGATCAAATCATTTTTTCCATATCAACTCTCATCTTGGGTGTCCATACTCTAAAAAAAGTTTCAAAGTCTATACCAACCTTTAGACGATACTCAATAGACCATTTAGGACTCATGCAACACCCATAATCAATCAAATTCAACCCTCAACCTCTCAAATTCACAAAAACACAAACGGGATATAACTTTGCATTAAATCATCAATATTCATCCAAATCAACCAAAATACATTTTAACTCTACTTGTACTAGTATTTTAGTCTTATACAAGTTTTACAACCACATGCCAACAACTCAGGACATGAAATACCACAATATTTTCATTTATAATACAAGTATCTCAAAATAATAATGAGTCCTAGTTGAAAATTTAGTCATCAAAGTACACATAGATAAAACTAAGAGGCCAACAAATAGGATTTACTTATAATTCTATGCCTCTAGTCATTTTTTTCAATCCTGATCCAATGAACTAGGCCCAAAAAATATTGAAAATAGGGTGATTTTATATTTTATATTTTCATAATTTTTAATTTTGTTTAATTTAATATTTAACTTTTTAAGATATTAATTTTGTTGTATTATTGTAATTTTATAATGAATATATCAAATAACATAATGAGTTTTCATTTAATATATTTTATGGTTAAATTGTAACTTTAAGATAATGAAATTATTTTAAGATTAGGTTAAGGTATTATTTAATGCTGATGAACTTGAGTAAAGAATTAAGCTAAACGATATTATTTTACGTCAATTTTTGTTATGAAGTAATGTTTTGTTTGATCCAATTCAACTATTTAAGCCAATTTGGTTAATTAGTTTTGATCAATTAATACCAAATTTAATTGAATTGACTAATGCATACCCAACCCCTATGTGAGGTGATAAATTCATTCAAAAATTTAATGTTTAATTTTTTAATTTGGAATGCATATAATGTGGTAATGAGTCTCTATTTTCAAATGTTTTATGATTAAATTGATATTTTAAACACTAATACTACTTGTTTATAATAATTAGACATGTGATATTTAAATTTATTCATTCATAGAGTATTATTTTATCTAATCTAATTTTTCAATTGAAATTCTACATTTAATACTAGTAACTTTAGAGCTTGATGTCGGTTTAGCAATTTGATAGCTAATGATAGGAAGGAGAAAGATAAAAAGAAGAAAAATGAGATATTCTAAAATTTCACTTTTAACTTTTACAATATACAAAATATATCTATGTATGTAATGCTATATGATTTTTTTTATTTGATGCTGTCTTGCAACATAAATATACAAAATTAGATAATATAGTGTATAAATTTCTATAAAATTATAATTTAAAAATGAAAACTAATTAAAAAAGTAAAGTGTAATGTAAAAACAAGCCAATTACATTACTTAAGAGTTATTGTTAATTAAAAGTAAAAATAAAATTTTAAATAAAACTAGCTAGAAAAATAAATAATTATAAACTAATGTATAATCTTCTATATTTTTACTATTTATTCTTTGATAATTTTTAAAATATCAATTTTAAAAACTAATATTACTTTTCAGCGGTGACAAAAAAGTCACTGTTGATTGGTAGTTTTTCGATGACAATGTTTAACGACGACCAAATAGTTGCCGCTGATGTATGGTTTTTACAGCGATTTTTGTAGTTGATGATTCTCCACTGTAATAGCTCCAAAAAAAAGTTAAAAGTTAAAAATTAAAAATTAATTAATTTGAGATAAATTAATATTAAAATATTTTGATTGTATTTTTATTAATTTTGATATACATATAATAAGAAGGAATGTGGCATGGTAGAGTTATGTCACCTGTATGACTCTCAAGTCTCAGGTTCGAACCCTCTCAATATAAGAAAAGAATTTATATTTTGCTATTAGTATGACTAAAATTATCATTGTGCGTTTCTCCTTATCTATTTCTCTTCTACTTTCCCAATTTATTTTTCACATTCTGCATCAATTGAAACACACACACACAGACATATATAGAGAGAGAGAGAGAGAGAGAAGCTTCACCCAACGTCCTCCAATCTCTAGTCTCGTCACCGCCATCGTCCTCCAATCTCCAGTCTCGTCGCCATTCGTACTCGTTGCTATTGCCGGAGAGAAGGTGCGCCAAATTCTTCTTCCTCTTCTTTTGTTCGAGTTGCCAGATTCTCTATCCCCCGTTCCCTCCCTGTTTGTGTGTCGGCCCCTTCATTCTCTTCCATCTTTCCGATCACTGGCGAGGGAGTTAGGAGTTGTTGTCTATTCACTCATCCGCCATTGCAGGGAGTTTCACTGGGTCAAGACCTCTCCTCCTCCCCTGTGTTGCTATTGTTTTTCTTTTCCTGATTCAAGTGTCGCCATGGTGATTGTGCGTGGCTGTGGCAAGTATCGGTCCCCCCTCTCTATTTTCCATAGTTTTGTTGGATGTTTGGAGGAAGAGGAACTTGATAGGTGTGTAAAGGACTGAGTTTTAGTGCTTGAAAGTATTGTAGATAAGTGAATAATGTTCCAAATCAATTTACATATTAACTAATTTTTTTATCAAAATATTATTTTCAATAATTTACAGTTATTGATATATATATATATATTAATATTTTAGCATTGATTACCTTTATCAGTTAAATTTATTTAGCATTTGAAATCATAACATATAAGATTGATGAAATTATTTTGATTAGTTTTTGGAAATTTCGGTTACCAAATAAATGCAAGAAAGGACATTATTTATAAAATTTTGTTTTGACAAGTATTGAACTGATGCTTGAAATGATTCATGCAAGTTTGGTATTGAGAATGTAAATTTTATTTTAGAAATGACTATCCATGCATGTTTGAAAAGTGATTTTGAGAGGATTTTAAGCAGAGCACTGTTGTTAACGGTAATTCCATTAACCCTTGGCGTGCCATGGTTATAACTAGCTAGTTCAATTTCATAAGCTTTGTTCTCATGTTTGTTATTCGTAGGTCTCGTATCTATGTTTGATTTTGTGGCTTTGAGTTGCATTTTGTTACTTACCCTCATGGACTATGTGTCTATGTTTGTCTTCGTGGCACAAGTCATATTTGGTTATTTGTCTTAGTAGACTGTATGTTCACGTTCACGTTTGTTTTCATGGCTCACTAGTACAAAAATGACTTTTTACAGTGGTTAAAGAGGCGATGTTATTCCAGGGGATGTAGAAAGTCCCTCTTTTTACATCTGTTATAAACCCAATGTAAAAATTAAATTTTTTACATCGGTTATAGAGCCGATATTGAAAATTATATACAAGAAAATTAAAAAAAATTTACTTTAACTTTTTACACCGGTTCAGATCCGGTTGGGATCGGAACCGGTGTAAAAAGTATTTTTTTATACTATATTTATTTTATCAATTTTACCCATTCCTATGCATAGAAATTACCAAATCAGACAGCCCAATTAATTTACAATTGTTTATCAAGTATTTATCAACTATACAAAGCTATTTAACTATTAAAAAAACTAATAATTGTCTAAATTGTCAAAATTGCCATTCCTGTGCATAAAAATTGCCAAATCAGATAGCTCAATTCATTTACAATTGTTTATCAAGTATTTATCAACTATACAAAACTATTTAACTATTAGAAAAACTAATAATTATCTAAATTGTGTCAACTATCAAAATTAAAACATGTTAAAAATAACAAAAAACCTCACAAATTCTCCACAAAATAGGTTGCCCAACGTATGCGGATGTCTTCAATTTCAGCTTCAAAAAATGCATCCAAATTGTCGAACATCTAAAATTTGATTCATAAAGTAGGCATATTAATCAATCTCAAATAACATAATAAAATAAAATTTTTAAAAATATATATATTTACCTCTTTTGTAAATTCGGTCATGCCTAATGTGATAATATTGAGCATGTGCCTCATGACATATAGACCGCACAAGTTCGTCCTCACCGGTTGTCTATGACTCTATATAAGAACAAATCATAAAAAATTAGTAAGAAATCTTAATAGTTGAACATATTAATAAAGTATAGCATCACCTTTGGCTCAATCCATGTGGGATCCTTGAGCTCATGTCCATGCTTTTGTAAGACTACATTTTGATATGTTCTCATTGCCCTATGATCAAGATTACCAAGTTAGTAAAAATATTCAAAAAAAATTAAATTAAATAGTTTAGTAAAAGTATTCTTACAAGTCTATCGTCTTCTTCATTTCTTTCCCAAGTTTGTAATGGAGGGAGCATAAAAAGACGACAGTGTTGCTCTTCATTGAAAGAACAAATAACTGCCAATGGTCCCTGCTAAATATGATACAAGTTAAAGTAAATCCATATTAAAAAACTATTAATTATAAATTGATCCTTACGAGTGCACATATGGAGCCATAAAAACGTCCTTTTTGACTTCACATATTCTCTATTGGAGGTACGCGGCCCTTAACTCTGGAGTATTACCTTTCTCTGTCATGTGATGAGGGCAAAGGAATCCAAACTTATCACCTTTGCCCGATGTAATGCACAAATGATGAAGATACCTACAACAATGCAATTATATTAGTTTACTAAACTTGATGATTAAGTTTACTTACAACAATGCAATTATATTAAAGAAAAATATACTTACATCATAAATAGTTCAATGTGTGGTGTGGTAAGCTGATTATTTGACAGAAGTCGAACCAAATCTTCCCGTTCAATTGTCACTATCATGTCTTTCTTGCCCACAACCTCTGGATCCATTTCTAAACTCTTGAACTCGAATGATAAATCATACGCCATTAAAATCATTCGCTGATGCGGAGTCAACAAGGGTTGTGGAAGCTTTGGGAGATTCGGTGAGGAAAGCTTCTACATAATAAAAAGACAAGAAATAGTTAATAAAAAACATATATTAGGAAGTTGCTACATAATAAAAATTCATGAAATTTCATACCACAGCTTGAACTAGATTCACAAGTCTCTTGGGCCATAGGATAAAATTGCCAACAGCTTCAACCACAGTCTTCACCTCATCAGTAGGGAATGGAACCAAAGCATCTGGCACTTTTGGATCTGCAACCACCACTCTTACTTGATCATCTTGAATTTGCTTGTGGTGGATGGTTGACCCCAAGCTATAGATGCTACCAAGAGCAACCAAGCGTTTATCAGGATCTTCTAGAAATATCTCACATGGTTCACCAATGTTGTCACCAGAAGGACCCTCTGACACACGCTCAAGAATATTACTCCCTTTTGTACTATGAAATGCAGGAGATGTATGAACTGGTTCAGCAGTTGTCTCCTGTCGTGAGCTCATCATGCTCATCATCTCCTCCTTCATTTGCTCTTTCATTTGTAGAAGCCGAGCTGCAAATGAAGCTTCAAACTCATCCTTAGTCTGCTGCCTCACAGTGGATATCAATGTATCAAGCTCTTCTCTAGTCACTACACCTCCTGAATTGGGACGTGCAGGTGCTCCAAAGTAGTCCTTAATGCCCACACCATATCCAACGCCCCTCACACGACCCGGATGCTCTGGCTTGCCTGTAGCAACTGTTAAGATATCATTTCTGCCCTCTAGAATGAAGCTTCCTTGGGCTTGTTGCTCCTTAAGAGTATCCTATAATATAAAAATAACAATATTAATTAATAATATATACAATTGTATAGAAATTTAAAGGGACAAGGAATAATAATTTTACTTACAATCCTCTCGGCAATCTCCCGTGCTGTCTCACTTGTATAGCCTCCTTTCTTGTACTGATGTCCATATCTCCATTTCTCCTCTCGAGAGACAGGTGATGGTGGAGAAAGGAGTATGGAAGGATCAGACTTGGCTTCTTTTTCTCTCTTCTTTTGTTTCTCTGCCATCAGTATATCATCAGCTCTAGCATAACCTCCACGAGACAGGGTGTGGGGGCATTGATTCTGCCGAGCAATTTCTCGCCCTTTAGCTCGTTTTTCCTGTTAATAAATTGAATTTTAGATTTATTATTGAAGTAAATCTAAATAAAACTTAAATAAATTAAAAGTTAACAAACCATAGCCTTTTCAGAAGTTTGAATCCTGACAAATTCTTCCCAAGTATCTTCATCAAGGAACTGGTATGTATCAAGAGGATTGGGACGAGCCTGACCCTCTGGCACCTCGATAAAGATATATCTTCTAGCAAGATCAGTCTTAAAATTTCTCCAACGTGTTCCACAGTAAGAAATCAACTTGTGTCGACAATCTTGATTAGATGGAACATCGTATGTGAGCTACAATGAAGACATAAGATAATAATCAATAATTCCCAATAATATATAACTATAAAAAAATTTTAATTTTTAATTATTTACCTGAATACTTTCCCAAATCTGTTCCTTCACACGTTCTGGCACATCAGGCCAGTCCTCAAACACAATAGGAGGCTTGGTACGTGATAGGAGGCCAAGAAAACTAACAAACTTGGCTTTATGTGGCCCTATCGGATTCCATCTCTGGTCAAATTGAATTGGTAACCTACGCCCAGCACTCCTACTTAATGTCAGATCTCTTAATCGTGTGCCACGTCTCCCCCTCCTCACAGACTGGCTCTGACTCGGCTCCTCACTAGGGGTGCCCTGACTTAGCTCCCCACTAGGAGCAACATCACCAATTGATTGGCTCTGAGTGTCATCACCTTGATTCTCCATATTCCTATTAATTCAAATAAATGAAATTAATTAAAAAATAATCAAAGATAAGATAATTAAGAAAAACAATCCCACAACATAAATTTAATTGAACTAAATTAACATACTTTAATTTCAAAACTAAACTCATATAGGGATATTCTCCCATATCCCTTCATGGTGATCACTTCTTATGGCATGTTCATCATCTACTTCATCTACCACATCCAAAATTGGTAGCCCACTTGAGAAGTTAGGAGTTTTAGAAATATCAAAATTTGATTCATGATCGTCATTACTATCAATCATCCTTTTTCCTTTAAGTGCTATTGACCAATTTTTATTTGCTGGATCCGTGACATAGAAAACTTGTTTAGCTTGGTCTGCCATAATAAATGGCTCATCTCCAAAAGTTAGTTTTTTAAGATCAACCATTGTAAATCCAAACTTATCATCACGAATACTATTGACGTCAACCCACTTGCATTTGAAAACAGGAACTCTAAATTTTGTATAATCAACCTCCCAAATCTCTTCAATAACCCCAAAGTAAGTCCTGGATGCTAGTTTAGGTTTCATATCTTTTGAACTAAAAAGTGTACGGCTTCAGCCATTATCATAACTCCACTATTTTGCACCGTACTCTTCTCATCCAAGGACTTTGTATAAAAGGAATACCCATTAATATCATAGGCACTCCAACATATAACATCAAAGTTAGGACCTCCAGCCAACCATTTAACTATTTCAGAAACACCACTTTCATTCAAAATTTTCTGCTTGAACCAATTCACAAAAGTCCTATTATGCTCTTTCAACAACTTTTGTTCTGTCATTCTCATTCGATAATTTTTTGCCTTTAAAAGTTCTTTATGAGAAGATATGTAATCTTTAACTTCATCAATATTATTCAAGATATATAAATGTGCTTCTTGTAATTCATCATGATTCATGCTCTTCACTGATACTCCACGTGTGCCTTGACCATATTGCCTTTTCTCATGACGAGATTTAGGAAGTCCAATTGATTTTGTACTTGACAAGTAATCAGAACAAAACTCCATAGCTTCTTCAGCAACATATTTCTCAACTATCGATGCTTCGGGTCGAAATGGATTTCTGACATACCCTTTCAGTATTTTCATGTATCTCTCAACTGGGTACATCCATCGCAAATAAACAGGGCCACACAATTTTACCTCCCTTACTAGATGCACTATTAAGTGAACCATAATGTCAAAAAATGTAGGAAGAAAGTGCATCTCAAGTTGGCACAAGATAGTACAAGCTTCTTGTTCTAACTCTTCCAGTTTACGGGGATCAATAACTTTACTGCATATAGCATTGAAAAAGAAACAAAGTCTGGTTATTGTAAGTCTTAAATCTTCTTTCAATATGCCTCGAATAGCCAAAGGTAATAGCTGTTGCATCAAGACATGGCAATCATGAGATTTTAAGCCTACCAGTTTCAACTCTTTCACAGATACAAGCTTCATAATATTTGAAGAATACCCCGAAGGAACTTTGATTCCATGTAAACACTCACAAAAACTTGTTTTCTCAGATTTGCACAATGTATGAGAGGCTGGGGGACAATAAGTTCGTTTACCTTCTGGTCTTGGGTGTAAGTCTTCCCGTATTTCCATTTCTTTCAAATCCAATCTTGCATTCACACCATCCTTAGTCTTACCTGGTATGTTCAGAAGCATTCCAATAATACTATCACACACATTTTTTTCCACATGCATAACATCAATACAATGCCTTACTTCAAGATTGCGCCAATATGGGAGGTCAAAAAAGATAGACCTTTTTTTCCATATGCTTTTTGCACCAGTATTCTTTTTAGTCTTACCGAAGACAATATTAATGTTTTTCACACGTTCATATACTTGATCCCCAGTCAAAGCATCCGGAGCATCATTGTGTTCTTGGTGACCATGAAAAGCTTTCTTCAATCTACGATATGGGTGATCTCGTCTAAGAAACCTCCGATGGCCAAGGTAGACTGTCTTCCTTCCATGTTGAAGTTGATGGTAGTTTGTGCTTTCTTCACAAATTGGACAAGCTTTATGACCTTTCACGCTATAACCAGACAAATTTCCATATGCAGGAAAATCATTTATAGTACAAAAGATCATAGCACGTAACTTAAAATTCTCCTTCTGATTTGCATCAAACACTTCCACACCTACCTCCCACAACACTTTCAAATCTTCAATCAGAGGTCTTAGGTAAATATCAATATCATTTCCCGATTGTTTTGGTCCTGAAATCAACATGGATAGCATCATGTACTTCCGTTTCATGCATAACCTAGGTGATAGATTGTAAATCACCAAAAGAACAGGCCATGAACTATGTATACTACTAAGACTACCATAAGGATTCATTCCATCGGTAGAAAGTCCAAGCCTCAAGTTCCTTGGCTCATTGCCAAATTCGGGAAACAATTGATCAATTTTCTTCCATTGAGGAGAATCGGCTGGATGTCGAAGTTTTCCATCAGATATCCTCTCATTTGCATGCCACATCAAGTTCTTTGCATCATTAGTATTTGCAAACAAACGCTTGAACCTTGGTATAATTGGAAGATACCATAAGACTTTTGTAGGAGCCCCCTTCTCTTTGTACCATGGTGCCTCACATTTCGGACACTTCTCCTCCCCTTCAAGCTCTTTTCTGTACAACACACAATCATTAGGACATGCGTGTATTTTTTTATACTTCATACCCATTGGACACAAGATCTTCTTGGCATCATAATAATGATTTGGTAGTACATTGCCCTTCGAAACATTATTTGAAGTAACTCTAACAACCATGTGAAACTTTGGTCACTCCACCCAGCTCTTGCCTTTAAGGTAACTAGTTTTAACACCCCAGATAACAAACTAAAATCAGTGCACCCCGGGTATAGAGGCTTCTCTGCGTCAGTGCACAAGTTATCATACACATGTGCTCGTTCAAAAGCCTCTTCCCCAACATCATGAATCATGTCTTCTAATCGATCTTCATTCATTTCTACTTCATCATCAAGATTATCAACTCTCACACATTGAGATGTGTTACTATAATTTTTCAATCGTTCACCATGCCAAATCCATATTGTATAATTTTTGCAAATCCCATCACAAACTAAGTGCTCTCTTATTTCGGCAACACCTAGTCTCCTCTCATTCAAACAATTAACACA